GCTGTTGCTGCTGCTGTTGCTGCTGCTGTTGCTGTTGCTGCTGCTGTTGCTGTTGCTGCTGCTGCTTCGCGGCACTCGTGCAGCAAATGACCCCTCTTACGACCTGCAACAGCAAATAGATAAATAAACAAAAACAATAAATAAAAGAAAAGATAATCTCTCTTCTGTGGATGATGCTGATTGTCCTGCTGTTGCTGTTGCTGCTGCTGCTGCTGCTGCTGCTGCTGTTTCTGGTGCTGTTGCTACTTCTGCAAGTGCTAGTCCTCTGGTGATGTTGCTGCTGCTGCTATTCTTGCTGCTAGTGCTGTTGCTGCTGCTCCTATTGCTGCTGCTGCTGCTGCAGCAACAGCAGCAGCAGCAGCAGCAGCAGCAGCATTTGCTGCATGCGCGGGAAGCGGACGTACACCTCAAGCATATTTTTTTATGTTTTTTAGGTTTTGTGTCTTCTTTAGAATTTGTTTTATCATATTTTTTGTGTCTTGTGTTGCTGCTTCCTCTTTGTTTTTGATTATTTTGCTGCTGCTGCTGCTGCTGCTGCAGCTTCTGCTGCTGCTTTCTTTCTTTGTACTGCTGCAGCGCTCTCAACTTTCTTGGGTTTTTCATCAATTGACCCCCGACTGTTCGTTCTCCTCTTTCTGCTTTAGCGAGTATAGACAGTCTGTTGCGAAGACGTTTAACTCTAGAGGCAGAGAGGGTGCTGCGTTGCTGCTGCAGCAGCTGCAGCAGCTGCTGCTTCTTCTCTGCTATCTGCTCAGGGCTCCAACACCCCTCAAGCTGTCTCTGACGGTTACGGGGGCCCTTTTGCTGCTGTACAGACTCTAAAGATGCTGCAGAAGCAGCAGCAGCAGCAGCAGCACCAGGGGCCCCCTCACCCTCTTCTGCTTCTTTAGCATTAGCAAAGGATTTTCTGGCTGCCTTCTTCTTCGGTGGATCGCTTTCTGTTGCTTCTGTTGCTGCTGCTGCTGCTCCTTCTCCTTCTGCTGCTGCTGCTGTGTCTTGCTTGAGCTTTCTTTTCTTCTTCGTACTTCCTGCAGCAGCCTCGGGGGCCTCAGCAGCAGCAGCAACTTCTGAGGGGTCCTTTTGTCTCTTTTGTTTCTTCTTAGTGCTTTTCATAGAATCACCCAACTCCCCCTCATCATTATCTGCTGCTGCTGCTGCTGCTGCTGCTGCTGCTGCTGCTGCAGCTGCTGCAGCCTTACCTTCTTTGCGTACCATTGGAGTGCAGCAGCAGCACCCGCGGGGGGCCCCTTTAGTCTTTAAACAAAAAAATAAAATTAAATAAAAAACAAATAAATTAAATAATTAAACAAACTCCCACTGAATCCCTTATAATATCTCCCCTGCAGCTACTGCTCTTGCTGCTGCTGCTGCTGCTGCTGCTGCTGTTGCTGTTGCTGTGGGGTCTTCTGAGGCCCCCAGAATTTGTTGCTGGAGCTATAAACAGCAAAAAGGCTGCTAAACATTAAATAAAAAGAATAAAGAAATCAATTAAAATGAAATGAAGAAGGCAAACAACACGCAGATAAACTTAAATATCTCAGCATACGGGTAACGGGGAGGGGGCCCCCCTACGCTGCTGCTGAGGGGGCCCCCACGGATTTATTATTAAGTTACAGTAGTTGTATGCATTAATAAATAAAATAAACAATAAATTTAAAATTAATTATTTATTATTATTCAAACAGACTAAAGAAGTTCCTCCTCTTCAACAAAAACCTCCTACACCAAGCAGGGTACGGGGGGCCCCCAGAAGCTTAGGGGGCCCCCCACAGCAAACAGGGGCCCCTCATAGCTGCTGCCCCTCTGAGGCCTTCTAGAACCCCTTAAGGTACCCTTGGGGGGCCCCTAGGGATGCCCCTATGGGGGCCCTTTGGGGCCCTTGGGGACCCATATGGGGTCCCTTGGGGGCCTTTAGGGGGGCCCCTTGGGGGCCTTTAGGGGGGCCCTTTGGGGGCCCCTTGGGGGCCTGTTGGGGGCCCTTATGGGCCC